TTAGGACTTACCTGAACCCAGATAGCCGCTCTGTCAAAACAGGAGGTAGTGTTTAATTAAGGAATATACCTTCGAATATAGGGGCCTTAATAAAATGATTTAAAGCTATATTCAAAAATTACGGGGTACGGCTCTCTCTCTGTCTCTCTCTCTCTCTCTCTCTCTCTCACTCGCTGCTCCCCATCCAGGGCGATGTCGTCCTGAGTTGTTCTCTGCTCTGGATTCAGGCTAGTGACTTCGCAGGCATTATGTCCACTGGACCAAGACACCTGGTCTTGGCCGATGCTCTGCTGGTCCGTGAGTCTGACGATACTAGATATTTCTTTCAGAGCTTTAAACGTGACATCATGGCTTGTAATTGCTGGGAAGCTGATGTCGTCCCTGCGGAACCGCACAGCAGCGGCAAGGATGAGGTCTGCGTCGCACATCTCAAACTCCCAGTTTAGGGTTCAGAGTTTAAGGGTTTAGGGTTTAGGGCACTTTTTTCCGGATTGAGAGAGATGGCACTTTCTGTCTGTCAAATCCCCACCTCATGTGGGTGCTAATCTTCATTCTAGGGTTTTTCATTTTGAGTACTCAGGCCCTATGAGTTGGGGTTATGGATTTGGGGCCCAGGGCTTAGGGTCTTTGGAGGTTAGGATAGTTTGGGTCGAGCTATAGCCCTCCTCTAAACCCTAAACCCTAAATTGCTAAATCTTAAACCCTAAACCCTGAATCTAGGACTTTGAGATTCAAGGATTGGGTTTTCGGGCTTTAGGGATTTAGGGTGGAGATGGGTGTGGGTCGAGGGTTTCGGGGTGTGGGTCTTTTGGGTATAGGACCAGGGTGTAGTAGCAGTATCCCCTTTTCAAATGGATCATGCTTCTATAAGGGTTACTTCTCGGGTCAAGGCCTGTATGTGGTTCTTTTATAGCGTCACTGCAGGAACGAATCGCGGTGGGGGTCTGATGGGTCACTTCGTCCGCAGCTCCATAGGGCTTAGGGCTTAGGGTCCATTTTCAAGGGTTCGTTTAAGGGAAGGAGCCGTTAAAGAAACCCGTGAAACAAATCATAAACCAAAGCAGGAATGAAGAACCACGATGAAGCCTAGGTATGGGCTTGGGAACCGCAAGTGTTTGTGATTCGTAGATTGTCCCGCAATACATTGTCGAAGGATAGCAAAGTGCCTCTTGAGGACACCTCAGAACAGTCCAGTCATTTTTTATCCATTAGGACTGTAAACGGGATATTCTTACCATGGTCTTTCCAAAATGTCGTTATTCGTCTACGAAGATTCAAGCCTAGTCGTCCCATCAGTCCCATCTGCCTCACATTGGATAATCGCAAAGGCTGCGAGCACGTTTGTAAGAAATGAAATAATTAGGGCTGAGGGTATGTATGTGTTTATGAACATGCGCATGCAGTGATGTATGTACATGTTAGTTCTTGAAAAAATGTATATATGTATGTATGTATACACTGTATATTTTAAACAGATGCTATACTACCGAGACCCTACTTACTATCGCTCCCAAGTTCATCCAAGTACCCCCATTGCTGACCTGCTCACCCGAATTGCCACGCTCATGGGGGCACAGAGTATTAACCTAAAGACCATATCACACTTGCAACTGCAAAGCTGCATTGTGGGCTGCATGCCACCCACAAGTACACTGCTCCGGACACGAAGCCAATCCAGGTCATGGAAGTGACGCTGACAGAGTAAGTGTCCTCGGTATGATGGTCCGCCTCTTCAGCAAAGGTGGCCTGAGGGTTCGTGGGGCTTGCTCAGAAAGTCAAGACTGACCACATGCTGTCTGCTGGCCAGTCGGTACCAACCAGGCTTTCCCGACCACCATCATAATCATCATGATATTATATCAACAGTATAAGCCATCACATGCCATCACCAAAAGGACTGCTACGCTCTCAGGCATTCTCCCTCCACAACGCAACCAAAAATATGCTGTACCCCCCTCCAAAAAACTTTCCTTATTGTTCAGGTAACCATACCAGGAAGCATCACAGAGACCCTGACAAAACCCTCCAAGACTAGGTGATAGACCCAGAGAACCCAATACCCCTTAAATGAAGGAATATACCTTGAATCATAATATCAAAGCAACGGAAGCTCTAATTCACGGAAGCACGGAGAACCCTAAACCCTAAACCCTAAAAACCTAAACCCTAAACCCTAAACCCTACTCCAAGGAAGCACGGACCTCCTCCGAGGCGACCTTCGTCGGATTTCTCTCACGGGTTGCTTTTGGTTCTCCTTTTCGGAATCATAGTAAAGATGAGGTAGTGTGTAGAGTAGATGCCTCTGCACACACACATATATATATATATATGCATATATATATATATAAATATATATATGTGTATGTATGTATGTATGTATGTATGTATGTATGTATGTATGTATGTATGTATACAAGGTGTACATAATGAACATAGCGTTCTGATTTTAGAAGGCGCTTCTCCAAGAAATTCAGAGTTTAGGGAGGGATAGGGCTTTGGGGCCTTGAAGGGGCCTCTTGAAGGGATCTACCTATAGTATCCATTGTAGTTCCTTTTTTGGTTAACCATGTTTATGGTTAGCATCCTAAAACATGACCTTACACCCTAAACCTTAAACCCAGTGAGCCAGAGAGAAGGAACTGCAGCGGAGGCTATAGGCAAGGTCTAGGGTGTTGCGGTCTTGGGCTTTTGGCTTTCCTTACAAAGAAAAGTCTTTCAGGGCACGGGTAGGGCTTGTCAGTTTAGCAACTCGGAGTTCTGGGGCCATGGCCTGTGAAGAGAGCTTAGGGCTTCGGGCTTACGGGGATTTAGGGGGTTTAGGGGGGTGTAAGGGGGTTTAAGGTGGTTTAAGGGGGTTTAACCAACCTCCCTCGGTGCTCCGGTGGTTTCTACATCAACGACCCAGGGGAAGCGGGCTGGCCGGGGTTGACAACGCTGCGTTCTTGTCTGTCAAAGCCGACTAAAGGGGCCCCCGGGTGATCTTCTTCGAACAGAACGGGCACTGCTCAAGGAACTTGGTGGCGACTGGCACCTTGTTGGCCTCCCTCCGGCACCTTCATCAAGGCCGGCTCTGTGTGGTCAGAGAAGATTAGGGTTTAGGGTTTAGGGTTTAGGGTTTAGGGTTTAGGGTCTAGGGTTTAGGGTTTAGGGTTTAGGGGTTTAGGGTTTAGGGTTTAGTCAGAGAAGAGCTTCGCCATCAGATCCTCCTGCCACCGGAGGGTGAGAAGGTCTCTGGACTTCCCACGCCGCTTCAAGTCCGCTTGCACTCGGCGGCTCTCGTTCACGCTTAGCTCCTGCACAGAGCCGTTCTCGGTCCACTTCTTCTTCAACTATGACACTTAGGCCTGTCTAGGGACCTTTAAGGGTACATATAGGGTATATAGTAGATATATAGGGATCCCAGGGTTAAGGGCCCACCCTAGGGGCCCATGGGTTCAACCTTAGACAAGAAGACAGGGGAAATTCACACCCGTCTTATCTGCCAAAGGGCTCCAAAGCCGCCTCAAGTCGGCTTAGGGGTTTACGGCTTTAGAGCTTTAGGGTTTAGGGAGGGGTTTGGGGTTTAGGGCTTCGGTCGTAAGGTAGGGGCCCTTTTGAGGATTCCCTTTAAGGGTTCCCCTAAGGGTTCTATAAGGGATCTATAGTAGGGTTCCATATATTAGTAAGGGCCTTCATCGGTGAAGGCTTTGGGCTCCTTTAAGCGTGCTACAAGGGATCCAGAAGGGTACTATAAAGCAGTTAAGGGTGTTTAGGGTCTACAAGAGGCGTCTGCATAATTAGAATAGGAGTTTGGGGAGGTATATATACCCCATGAACATTCTTAAAAAGGAGCCCTCCGGCATAGGTAAGTCGCCAGGCCCTTCCTATACCGTAAGCCCTGAACCCTAGACCCTAAACTCTCAACCTTAGACCTCCTTCTGGGCTCCCGGCTATGTTGCCAAAACTCATCGACCGCAGTGCTGCGGAAACTTCCGGACCTCGGCAGGTCTCTGGTGTTGAGGGGTCTAGGGTTCAAGATCTCTCTCTCTCTCTCTCTCTGTCGTTGTCGATTTTTGATACTTCTGTTATGATATGGTTCCCTAAACCCTAAACCCTAAAGCCTAAACCCCAAACCCGTTGTTCATGACCCCTAAACCCTAAACCCCAAACCCCAAACCCTTAGTAGTTGCTGGGCTGCGGCTTTTTTCGTTTTTGTTGGATGGCTCGGCGGTCTGAGACAGAATGTAGGGACCGGAATAGTTAGAGCCCATCATGCTACAATTACATTAATCTTGTACCAATACATATTTTGGGTGTTCCTTATATAAGGAACACCCACAATAGTATTGGATCGTATTGGTAATTATTTAGGCCCCTACATTAGACAATTGTTGTTTGCTTCTTCTTGTTTCCGGGCTGCGGCTTTTCAGACTTTATCTAAATAGCGTCCCCTGTGGAAGGCGTTTTAGTATAGAATATATATATATATATACATAAGGAAGCCATAAATGGGGAAGCCATAAATGGGGAACCCTGAAAAGGAACCCCAAACCCTGAACCCCTTCAGGACTATACCTTAAATTATAAGGGCTTCATTATTGAAGCGATTTAAGGTATATTCCTTAATTTGAGGGGGTATCGGGTTCTCTGGGAACCCTAAACCCTCAACCCAAAAACCGTAAAGCCTAGACCCCAAAACCCTAAACCCCAAAATCATAAACCCTAAACCCCTAAGCCCTGAACCCTGAGCCCTAAACCCCTAAACCCTAAACCCTGAACCCTAAACCCCTACACCCTAAACCCCAAAACCCAAAATCCCAAAACCCAAAACCCAAAACCCAAAATCCCAAAACCCTAAACCCTGAACCCTAAACCCCTAAACCCTAAACCCTGAAACCTAAACCCCTACACCCTAAACCCCAAAACGCAAAACCCAAAATCACAAAACCCAAAACCCAAAACCCTAAACCCTAAACCCCTAAAAAGAAGGAGCCCAGATCCTCCAAAGCTGAGGCTGCGACTTAGCACGGAGCTTCGCAGCACGCGGTAGGAGCTGCGCCTTGGAAATCAGCTTCCCCAAAGGGTTCAAAGTAGCTATGTAAGGGGTTTAGGGTTTTGGGGTTTTGGGGTTTAGGGGTTTAGGGTTTTGGGGTTTAGGGGTCTAGGGGTTTTAGGGTTTAGGGTTTTGTGGTTTTGAGGTTTTGGGTTTTGGGTTTTTGGGTTCAGGTTTTTGTGGTTTAGGGTTAGGGTTTAGGGCCTAGGGGAAGGGGTTCAAAGTACCTATACCCAAAGGGTCCTAGGTACTGTTATGGGGGGTACTTTCCAAAATCATAATAAGGATTCCTTATGTAGAAACAAACCCTACATTCTACTACATAGGTACTTTGGACCCTTTGGAATATAATAGCGTATGTTATATAGTAGAATAGAGGGTCTCCATATTAGGAATTGTCATTATGGTTTGGGCAAATCTGCTTCCCAGAGATTCCAATACACCTCAATTAAGGAAAATACTTTAAACTATAGGGGCCTTAGATATTCTGATTTAAAGTATATTCCTTCATTTTAAGGGGTATTGGGTTCTCTGGGTTCGAGTTGAGGCTTCGGCTTCACGGCGTGCCGGGTTTAGGAGCTTAGGGTTCAGCGGTTTAGGGTTTAGGGTTTAGGTTTTGGGGTCTAGTGTGTTGGGTTTTACGGTTTAGGGTTTAGGGTTTAAGGTTTAGGGTTTAGGGTTTAGGGTTTAGGGTTTAAGGTTTCGGGTCTTAGGGTTTGGGGCTTAAGGGGTTGGAGGTTTGGGGTTGGTGGTGGCTCTGCAAAAACACAGCAAGACCTTGGATTAAATGTGATGGATACCTTACAAACATCCCAGAGACTGCTGTAATGTAAGGGCTCAATAATTACAGTACGGCTTTGGGTGTCGTATAGTGTGGTTCCACAGGAACCACAAGGGGGTCCAGGGGATGCAAGAGGAATTCGTCCGCCAAACCCTTAAACCCTAAACCCTAAACATTAAACTCTAAACCCTAAACATTAAACTCTAAACCCTAAACCTCAAACCCTAAACATTAAACTCTAAACCTTAAACTCTACAACCCTAAACCCTAACATAATGACCGTCGCGCCATTTGTGCATTGGGGCGTCGGGTTGCTTAGGGCTCGGTTCCCCACAAAACGTTCTGCGTTTCCCTAAAGCCTGGGCCTTGCTGCTTGGAATTGGGTTCCTTTGAGGGTTTAGGGTTTAGGGGTTTAGGGGTTTAGGGGTTTTGGGGTTTAGGGTTTAAGCGTTAGGGAATTAGGGTTTTAGGGTTTAGGGCTTAATGCTTGGAATTGGGTTCCTTTGAGGGTTTAGGGTTTAGGAGTTGGGGGTTTAAGGGGTTAGAGGTTTAGGCTTGGAATTGAATTGGGTTCTTTTCAGGATTTAGGGTTTAGGGGTTTTGGGTTTAGGGTTTGGAATTGGGTTCCTTTGCGGGTTTAGGGGTTTAGAGGTTTAGGGGTTTAGGGTCTAGGGCTTAGGGTTTGGAACTGGGTTCCTTTGAGTGTGCCTAAGGGTTGTTATTCGGGCTTGGTATTATAGCTGGCCTTAGGATTGTTGGGAATATTTCATATACCATAGCTACGACAAGGAAGTTTATGGAAGAGTATTGCTAACTACTAACACCCAGAGAACCCAATACCTCTTAAATGGGGAATATACCTTAAATCATAATATTCAGGCCCCTATAGTTTAAGGTATCTTCCTTAATTAAGGGGCATTGGGATCTCTGGGCAAACATTTCAATGAAGAAAAAAGAAGAGCCGTGCTCTCGCTGTTGAAAGCTGGTGAGCTTGGGCTTCTCCATAGGCCCCATAGTAGTTCCTTTTTGGGATTGCCGAATAGGATCCTAAGTATAAGCCACAAAAAGGAACTACTATGGGGCCTAAACCCTAAACCCTACTATGGGGCCCATGGGTGAAGTCTTGACGGTCAAGTTGACATTGACTTTTCAGAAGTTGCGGAGTCAACACCTTGCTTTCTGCAGCCTCACGGCTGGACTCCCAAAGCCGAAGAGGGACCAGTGTCCACCCAACCTTCAACCTCAAGCCACGGTTACGGTTTAGGGTTTAGGGTTTAGGGTTTAGGGTTTAGGGCTTAGGGTTTAGGGCTTAGGGTTCCCTGAAACCAAGCATTTTCCATCATTCCAGCTCGCGCCGACGTGCTGAATCAGATCTGCCGCTCAACCAACGTCTCGCTGTGAAGAGGCTGAAAACCTGGGTGTTCTATTGCCCTACATAAACGGAAAGTGTCTAAGACTTTACATCCTAAACCCTAAACCCTAAACCCTAAACCCCACTATTTACAGAACTAAGATCCAAAACAGAACCCGGAAGCCTTTCTCTTCCGCGAAATCCTGCATTAACTTGACATAGTCTGCTTTGGAAAGTGGGATTTTGGCACCGTCTTTCACCACAGAAAACGCCCCCCGCTCTGCCAGTCGATCATAATCTGCTTCCGGGTCTTCAGCATACCGGAGCGTGAATTGCTCCTTGGTTGCTTTGGGGTTAAGGGACGAAGAAGTCGAATCCAGAAACGACACCCGAAGCACCGCAGCAAACACATGGAGCGTTGAAGCCTCCAGCGCGCAGAAATCGGTAGTCCAATCGTGGAGTCTTCGAGCAAGAGCTGTGCTTCGCCGACTTCGGTACCCCCTCCGAATAGCTCAATAGTGTTGTCATGTTTATTGTCAGAAATACTATTGATAATTACAGACATGCCAAAAAATCCGAAGAACCAACCGGCCAAGAATGGTACTCAAGGTTCCCCAGTAAACCCTTTTAACAGAAGGGTACCCTGTTCCGTAAGCCCTAAACCCTAAACCCTAAATCCCATAAGCCCTAAATCCTCAACCCTAAACTCCAACAACCCCTAGACCCTACATCCCGTCAACCCTAAACCCTAAATCACCTGAGCCCTAAATCGCCAGGGCCCTATGAAAGGGACGAGAGTCTTCGCCGATCCACCACTCAGTGATTCCCTGGAACTGCGATTTCGGTTGCGTGGGAGGCTCCGTGCCTAGGTGTAGGCTTTTAGGGCTTTAGGGTTTTAGAGTTTTAGGGTTTTCGGGCTTTGGGGGTTAAGGGTTTAGGGCTTTATGGCTTCAGGGTTTTAGGGTTTTGGGGGTTTAGGGTTGTGGGTTTACGGCTTTAGGGTTGAGTTAAGGGTACGTCCCTCAATGTCTACGGGTAATTACAAAAAAACAAAAACCTAGTGACCTAGTTTCCGGAGCGATAAGAAAGTTTTATCCGGAGTTGAAAAAACATACCGTTTTAGGGTTCCTTATTATGGTCTCTGTACAAAGTATAATAACTCCTCAAAAAGGGTAGGCTTTTGGGGCCACGGGTAGTATAAGGACTCCTCTCAGGCGAAACCAAGAATCCGATATCCGCAGTGATGAGGGCTAGGTCGATGAAGAGGTCGTAAGGATCCGTGTCACCTTGCTGGGTTTAGGGGTGTCTAGGGAGCTTAGGGTTTAGGGGTGTAGGGTTTTGGGTTTGGGGTTTTAGGGCTTAGGTGCTGGGAGAGTGGATCCCTTTAATCTTCCATAGAAAGAATTCCTTATCCCGTTCATTCCTTCCTCCACGCTTCCTTATAAGCACAAGCAAGTCACTGTCCTCGAAGAGCTTGCGGGCGAGAATGACGGACATGGTGAATAAGTATCGAGATCCCTCTTCATCCATGGCCCAAGGATACGGGACATCGTTGTTGCCCACAGGTGAGAGGAACTTGGTGATAGGTGACTTCGCCGTAAAAGAAAAGACTGTCTCGCCCACAAAGACATACTTCAAGCCCTCTAAATGCAACAGCATGGAGTTACCATCGAATTTCGCCCCATGCTCTGGAGAATGGCCCACGAAGACCTTCTCCGCAGAGAAGGACGTACAGGCCGCCTCTTCATAGGTCACCTCCTCCTCACCTCCCTCTCCGTCTCCGGGGCCCCCGCCACCGAAAAACTTTGAGAGATCCAGGCCTCCTGGGCTTTGAAGTAACCAGGGTGAAAAAAGTATAGACTCTTATTTCATAATGGTTCCTTTAAGAAACTATCATAGATCCCTTATAGAACCCTTTAAGGATCCCTTTAAAGGAACCCTAGAGTATTAAAGTATGGTACTCCAAAGCCCAGGTCTCCCAACTGGACAGCCACCGGCCCGCCCAGTTCCTCTGCGAGCTCCCCCGCCGTTTTCACCGACACCGTGAAACCAGAGCCGGCCTTGGCCTTCTTGCCGTCCTGTTTAGGGTTTTTTTGCTAGTAAGTAGCAGTAGCAGTAGTGAACCTCAAGACGATGACTGGTGTCAACTTGTTAAAGTCCTTGTTATCGTTCTCGTCCTCGTCTTCGTCCTTATCCTCGTCCTCGTCCTCGTCCCCGGCGTCACTGTCCTCCTCCTCGATCGCCTTGAAGATCTTGACCTGGCTTCTTGTTGTGGAAATTAACCAGCGCTGGGCAGCATAGCAAATGACATACGGCAGGACTTGCTGAATATGATCACTCAAGCTAGTTTCCTTAACACCCCAACAAAGCTCGCTTACAAACTACATAAGGCAAGACACGTAAACGCCGACAACACCCTTAAACGAAGGCATCTAACCTTAAGCTTCCATTAAAGCCCGCATAGCACCCCATAAGACCCCTGCGAGAGCGTTACGGAAAGGTATCTTGACCTAAACCTAAAGGCCCTGAACCCTTAAACGTTTCACCCGAAACCCTGCACCCTTAAACCCTGAAGCCATAATGTAGGGGCCTTAATAACTAGAATATGGTATTTGGGACCCATTATACTACAAATATGCTACGGATCCCCTAAAACAGTTTAGGTAATTATTCAGGCCCCTAGATTAAGCTCCTAAACCCCAAACACTGATGAACGCTAAACCCCAAACAAAACCCTCAAATATTAAGCCCCTAAACCCTAAACCCCAAAATATTAAGGTCCTAAACGAGAACCCTAAACCCTAACCAAAACCCCTCAAGTATTGAGGTCCTAAACGAGAACCCTAAACCCTAAAGAAAATCCCTCAAACATTCAGGTCCTAAACGAAAACCCTAAACCCTAAACCCTAACCAAAATCCCTCAAATATTGAAGTCCTAAGCGAGAACCCTAAACCCCAAACAAAATCCCTCAAATCCTAAACCCTAAACCCTAAGCCCTAAACCCTAAACCCTAAACCCTAAATCCGAAACCCTAAACCCTAAACCCTAAACCCTGAACCCTAAACCCTAAACAAAATCCCTCAAATCCTAAACCCTAAACGCTAAACCCTAAACGCTAAACCCTAAACCCTAAACCCTGAACCCTAAACCCCAAACAAAATCACTCAAATCTCAAACCCTAAACCCTAAGCCCT